ATTTTAAAATGGCATGTCAATTATTAATATGGTAAACAATAAATTGGACAGTAAATATTGAATAATAAATGTCAACTCGACTATTACTGATCTACAGCAGCCGAACTGCGAGTTTATTCTCGTAAAAGTGTCCAGCTACACAAAAAAACACGGATGCATTGATAACGTAGCTTAATTCATTGATAATGGATACAATTCTTTGGCCTTTTCTTTCTCGCGGGCGGAGAAAAAATCTCGTCCAAACTACCACCTTATGCATGGTATAAGGAAACCACACCCAATCACTTTCACCACTTAGATTCCTTGCAAAAGTCGAGAATATTCGGAAATTCGCCGTCGTGAAGGATGGGTTGTGTTCAGGCTAAGGGAGCAGTGTACAGCCCAACAAAGGGTCTAGATAAATTGAAACTCGACAATGGATACGTTCAAGGACGTGATGCCCAGAAACAGGATCCCAACAAGGCATCTCGGCCCAAAGTGGAGGCTAAGAATATGGTGGCCACCGCCGGTGGTGGACGGGAGAGAAAGATCAGTAGAGAAGGTGAGAGAGGAATCAATGGCGGTGGAAACGTTTTGCAGACGATTTCAGTCGAAAAAATTCCTGCAGATGAACATGCTGGTGGTTGGCCTAAATGGCTTGTTGATCATGTTGACAGAGACGTTTTGACGGGTTTGTTCCTAACTACTGCTGATTCATACGAGAAGCTTGCAAAGGTCAGTATTAATCAAAGTTGAATTCTGCCTTATTATCGTTATCACTTGGCAATGAGTAATTTCATCAGAAAATGAATGCAATAACTTTGATCTTATATGCAAATTTAGTGATGAAATCCGTCATGTGTTTTGGTTCATGATATTCAAGTTTAACAGTAGAGATGATACTCTTTTTTTGGCTAGAATACGGCGAATGCATTTCTTAGCGTACAGCTTTGCTTGAATTGAGAAGAAATTCTCTACGTCGTCTCTCTTTCTCAAGTGTTTTTTTCCTCGCAGGTAGGCCACGGAACGTATAGCAATGTGTATAAGGCTCGGGATAAGTCTACAGGGAAGGTAGTTGCCTTGAAGAAGGTTCGTTTTGATACATCAGAGCCTGGAAGTGTAAAATTTATGGCAAGAGAGATCATAATGTTGAGGCACCTCGACCATCCGAATATTATTAAGCTTGAAGGAATTGCCACTTCAAGAATGCAATACAGTCTTTATTTAATATTTGATTTTATGCCATCAGATTTAACCAAAGTCATCTCACGTTCAGAAGGAAGGCTTACTGCACCTCAGGTCGAATTCTATCCTCCACTTCAGATTACAGTTTCAGTTTATTTTTCATGGGATTTCTGCCATTAAAATTCACACGAGTAGTTCACACATGTTAAGGAAACTTAACATCTTACCAGATATTTAGTCAATTTAGTTGGAATCGAGCTCCTGAAATGTGTGTAATAAACATATAATTGTATGTAGATCAAGTGTTATATGCAGCAGCTGCTCTCAGGTCTTCAGCACTGCCACGAGAGGGGAATTTTGCACCGGGACATAAAAGGATCTAATTTATTGATTGACCCGAATGGAATGCTTAAGATTGCTGATTTTGGGCTAGCTAATTTTTACCAAAACAAGACAAAACCCACTCTCACGAGCAGAGTTGTAACATTATGGTATAGAGCCCCAGAACTACTACTAGGCTCTACAGATTATGAAGAAGGCATTGATCTGTGGAGTGCAGGATGCCTTTTAGCAGAGATGTTTGAGGGACGACCAATTATGCCGGGCAGGAATGAGGTAAAATACCTTCTTTAAGTACTTGTGCTATACTACAGAGCAAAACATACAGTGTGCCTAAATGTTAAGAGAGAGTAAACCTGTATTCATGAAGCTTATTAAGCTCTCTGTGTATTCAGATTGAGCAGCTTCATAAGATATTCAAGCTTTGTGGTTCGCCCCCAGAGCACTATTGGAGAAAAATGAAGCCACCAACAACATTCCGCCCTCCACAACATTATAAACCATGTTTCCAGGAAACCTTTCCAAATTTCCCCGATTCAGCATTTGGTCTTTTGGGCAGACTTCTAGCTTTAGATCCTGCACATCGCGGCACTGCCGCTTCTGCTCTTGAAAATGAGGTGAGTTATTACAGCACTAATTGCTAAACTTGATTGAAAAGGACAAGACAACTGAAATCGCAAAATTGTTGAAGTTCTGAGGCTTTTGTTAAAATCAAGAAATAGTACCTGTTCAATCAACCGAGTTATATTCCTCAATGGCATAACCTAATTTTCCTTATTAAAAAGTCCTGTATAAAAGCAACAGAGGATATACGAGAATTTTTTTACCTTTGCTAACTGTTGCATAAATTACAGTTCTTTTGTACAAGTCCATTGGCATGTGATCTCTCTGGTCTGCCTGTCATAAGCGCAACAGAGGACGAGACTATCCACTCTTACAATAGAAGGTAAGGTCATCTCTTTAACGTTGCATTTTCATGTCTTGATAATTCATTTTTCATGTCTTGTTTAAACAGAACTGCAAAAGCACAGCAACAATCTCGAAAGAGCCAAGGAGATCATAGAAGAAAGGTCTCATTCCCCGAACATATCAGAGTAAGATTCCGTCTATACACTAGCATTTTATGAGTTTCGTATGGCATCATTTCTAACTCTATTATGAACGTCATACTTTCCCCCAACTCACATGCACACACACATCTCCCTAACAACGGCAGAAAAGAAATGTGCCCCAAGTTTAGTTATGGAATTTCTTTACCTAAAATTCATGTGAATGCAGAATTCATCAGCAATCAGATCCCTTTAAAATGATTGATACTGGTTTGTGATGATAGCTTTCTTCATCATTTTCAAGCAGGAAATACATACGTCTCAGAGCTTCCAAAGCCTAGACACGATTAATAGTATGAGTAGCACTTCCTCAACCAACAAACAAAGAAGCAGTCAAGAGACCATGCCTCATTCTCCTTCTCCAGCTTTTCGATCTTTGCTTAACCAATCTTCAAAAACTGAGGCACATCCTAATGCACTGAAAAACATCAAGAACTATCCTCTTCTACTGGCCTCTTTGACTGAGGCTGCCAACCACCTTGAAGAGAGTAAATCAAATCATTATCGAAGATCCCTTTCCAACATCGATTTCAGAAATCTCGATCTGGAGAAGATCTCAAAACTGTTCGGGCTAGAGGATAATTAAGCTGCAGTAGAAGTTGTTTCACTAGGATATGTTGGGCATGCTGCTATTCTCTTATCACTGAATTGGTGGTACTTTGTTAAAATTATTTATAGATCATGCAAACAGCAGAAGTTTTATATGAAAACCACCACAAATTTTATTTGTTCCATGAGAACCAAAAAACCTTATTTTTCATCAGCCTAACTCGTCAATGAGTCGTAGTGTTCTTTGAATTTGCTCTTAATCCATTTAAAACTATTTCTCAACGACGATTTCAACAGTCCGGATTGTCCCTCAGACTGTTGAAGCTATAAGACTTAGTGCAATCTCCAAGTCAAACCATACTTGATCTGCGTGCAAAGGTAAGTAACAAGGGAATGTTTTGCTTCTTTCCAAGATAAAAAAACTCACAAATCTGAGAGGAGAGCTCATTGCATTTTATACACAAGGATAGAGAACACAACATGGACCAGTTTTGTATTTTTTTTCCCGATATTTCATTATTCTTCTTTTCTCAATAACAATTCGTTAACTCCTTTATTGCATCCAATTTTTAAATAACTTTCATAATGACTTGTTTGATAAGATAAATTATCCTGCACTTCATAATATTAAAAATAAAAAGAAACAAATTTTTTTTCACTTTCTACACAAGTCACTAATATTTGTTATCTTTAGAATCCCCTGAAAATGTTTTTTAAAAAAAGTATTTCGGTTTCATTTCCCTGGACTGACTATCTAATATGGATCGATCACATGAAGCTCAAACTTGGAAACATAAAAACCTCGACCTTTCCATTACAGATTGATGATCACCAGTAGCTACAACTTGCATTACTAAGACTGATGGCTAAAGAAATCAGCTCCACTCTCAATATCATCCGTTTTAATGTTCCCACATTGAGCCATTAGTATTCTGTACACTCTCTTAGAACAAATATTGCCTAATCTTCTATCACCACCAAAAAAGCCCTCTATCGTCAAATCCTCCAGTAGAAATTCTTTCTCATGCACCTGACAGTTTTGGTACAAAATCAGAGTTGCATCGTGTAGAAAACAAAAGGAAAGAATAATAACGTTTCCAAATATGTGATCCAGCTCTGTGATAATATTGGATTACCAAGCATTTAGGTGATTAGAAGCATTGAATTAGCCATCAATCAGTACGAGGAAAAACGAGTAGGAAATGACAGGCTATAGCAATAGATAATAAACTGAGGGGAAGAGGATAATGCTCTTTGGTGGGATAGATCCAAATTTGGTACCAAAGAGAATAAAGCAAGCAATGCTCGACTGTTTACCATAAGAATTTTTTACAGCTTGCTTTCTATGTAATAATGCCTAACTTCAAAGATAGACTTAGTGAAAACTAGACCTGGACAAGACAGATACCAAAACAAGCCTCTTTTCAAGTGACTAGTCAAATTACAGAATCCCGAGCAAAATCAGCCGACAAACCTAGTGAAAGTGGAACTGAAATAACACACACTTGCAACACATATTGACAACAGACAAGCTATATGAGTTAAAGAATTCGTTCTTATCTAGAGATCAATTGTTTTTTCATTTCATTTACTTTATTCATCTATTTCAGAGTGAAGTTTATTTTACGTTCCCGAAATTCTAGGACCTCATGTTACACAACTGAAATTTTTCCAGCAATAGAAAACGAAAAGCTTCATTTGCCTCCAGGAACCTCCAGATACAGGGGAAATGCTGAAAAGGGGCAACAGGCGAGTCATTTTTAAATCGTTCCTTCATGCTACAGAAACAATCAGATCAAGAACCTACTTTACGATATACTTGTTTCTTTAGCCTTTAATATCTATTCCAAGTACAGAATCAGAAAACTTAACCTGAAACCATGTATTCAATTAACAGGACATGCATGAGCTGATTGGTAATAGATTCCATGAGAAAAATGTCACACAAAAAAGTAGAGCAAAGTACGGAATACCTCATTAGTATACAAGACTCACCGATTTATTAGGATCCATGTAAACACTCAAAAGAGATTTCATTGTGGGATATTTCTTCCAAATGGCAATAGCAAATCGTGGCTGTACCTTTGGGATAGCTACCAGTGCTTTCAGCCTACAAGAGAAAGATAAGTAAAGAATGTGTATTAATGCAGTAATCCAAATAGTTTAATCTATTGCAAATCAGAGCACCCATTTGGGCTCCAACTGTGACCCCCCATCTAGGCTAATAGCAGTGTAAGTGGTGGTATATTACAGAACTCAGACAATATCAACAGATAATCACTTGACGTACAATGGTTGCCATGTGCTTCATTTATCATCTTGTGAAATAAGATTCAAAAAGGAAGTCAAATTCCACAACAAAAACTATGTGCAGCTAAACATTGCGCTATTTAAGTAAGACTGTCCACTGACAGATATCATTTTCTTTAGTGAAGTTCCTCTTCTGAGATACAAGATTATATAGCCATATAGCACAAGGTCATGCTAAAACTTATAGTGTGGCCATTATTCAGTGGCATGGAACTGAAGTTAATGATCAAACAACTATATGCTCATTCATGCTTCGACAGTTTGCATGACACGCCAATTTGAAAGGAAACAATAGAATAAGAAACACACTCACCACGTGCTCTTCTTTATTAGATTCTTGTCAACACAGTCTTTAGGGATAAGGGATCCATTTGCATCAACTGACAATCGAGTTAACCTTTTCCTATATCAAAAAATTGAAGAAAACAGGGGACATTAACATCACGTGGAAATTGATAAGCATAAAAGATGTCCTATCAATCATACATAATAGTAGGTATATTTTTATTGTTTTCCTCAGCTATGGATTACGAGTAAAAATGTGAGACTGGCAAAATTATAGAAGTTCGTGAATTATTCCCTTGAATTTTATTACTCTTATAATAGAATTAAAAAAAATGAGTTTGGGCAGTAAGTAGTCTATCAACTTTGTCCATTTCAAATCCAAGTACTTTTCCATCAAATTATCTTAATTGCATCATACATAATAAGACAATGTACTATATCAAGCGGCTACATTTACATATTTTTCACACAAATCAGTATGAGCAAAATATAAAATATAACAATCATGCACAAATGACATGCTGACTTGATTTTTCAGCAAATATACAATATTTATTTATCTAATAAGAAATGAACTTACAAATAAGAATACACACAAATGCACACATAGGCAAAAGAACACCTAAATTAAAATATACATGCGTGTCTGGGGCATGAGCAGATGAACATATGTTTTTGCTTATGCCTGTAAGAAAAAAAATACAATTATGGGTACCTAAATTGACAAGAAGCAAGACTGCAAGTCAAACCAACTACATGTTCAGCTAGTTCAGCTTCATCAGTGCACTGCCTTGAATGTACTTCGGAAAAATGAGTTGTCAATTTTGACATGACCTGTAAGAATAAAGACAAATTTTAATGCATGTGCATATGTTTTGTTGTTCTTTTAGATAGATCTGATCATGAGATATCTCCAGAATCACATGCACTATGAGATAAGGTTTAGCTAACCTCCTCTATTGGTGGGCGCTTCCACCCATTGTAGTTGGTAGGATTCTTGTGCTGCCCTTTTTCCCTAGGACAATAGCAGCAAAAGAGTGGTTGGGAAAGGGCAAAAAAACAACAATTAGTTACGAAAGTTGCCTGAATCTGAATTTGACATCAATTTAAACATTTTCATCACACCAGATAATTAATTGAGAAAATAATAAAATATCAAGTAAAACTCTTATCAGATCTACAGGTAGGATAAAAAATATAACACCGACAAGCCAGGTAGGTGAGCATAAAATCTTTAGTGGTTCTCCCAAATACACATTTCAAATAAATATTGTACTACTCAATACTCAATACTAGTGAGTACATTACATTTGAACAACACAAACCATTTGCAAAGACACCAGCTAAAAGATAAAATAAAACATGGATAACTGATATGTGAACAGTTTGTGTAAACATTGACTGCATATATTAGGCGTTGGACAAATAAATAGGTGTAAAAGGCGTAGAAATGAAGAAGGCGTAGATGGTAGGTGACTAGGTGTTTAAGTAGGTTTAAGAATTGCAGCCATGCAAGTTAACAACATTATACTAACAATTTGAATTTCGGCAATCCCCTAAAATCTAACAAAATGCACATGAATGCTCTTTCAACAAGTTTAATCCCATCCTAACCCCTAGACATAGCGTCAAAGTGCCCATATAAATTGAATGCCAAAGCAGTTCCAAGGTCCAGGCACTGGCAACTTAGATGTATTTGTGTGGATTTTACTGTGACTTTACTTTCTTTTTTATTTTTGAAGGCAACAGAATCTTTAATTTTAACTTTTGAACTTCACTTCCAGGTGATTACCGGGTCATTCTGAAAATAAAAGCATATTAAATTATTTATGAAACCCATTGACTATGTAGTTGGATCTAAGATTTAACAAAAGCAAGTCAATCGACCAGGCTTACATAGGTGAACAAGACGCCTAATGAAATAGAATATGAAGCCCGAACCTCAATCAATAGCCACCAGACTCTGTATATATTCACCAGTTTTCAAACCACATTGTTGTGTTTTTCAACCATGAATGAAAAGAAAGAAAAGAACGAACTGACTGTCTAGTCAATTTATTTGTTTATAACTGGTAGCATTCAGAAATACGTTTCTAGTCGTACAAGTGATAATGAACTTGAATTTAGAAATTAATCTGTTGAAAGGAAGTAAAAAACAATAACAGAACTAAAGTATAAGATGGATGTGATAAGTTATATAACAAAATAATGCCACCAACCTTTTATCGATGTAAGCCATAAGCCTATTTGTGAGATAACATATAGTATGATGTGGATAACGGTGTTGAATGCTCCGAATTTGACCCATTAGAGATTCATTCAAGACAAGTTTACAGAAATCTTCAGCCTCGTAAATAATTAACACATAAGAAAGTTCAATCTCTTCAGATGAAACCTGCAGCATAGCAATGAAGTCAGTCATTCAAGGAAAATTAAGACTGTTGTGGATTATGCTTGGAACCCAACAATAATAATCAAATTAACAATAGTACATAAGTATCAAAAAACTACATATGTTCTTAAGCTGGCAATATAATTTTTTTATGTGCTAATATTAAAGGATTAATCAGTCATCTAATGAACACAACAACTACAGACAGCACTGACGACATGATAGAGATTGGAGTAAGAGCACCTCTAAAGAGCATAAGCTTTATGATGTGTGTTTGTGTAAGCATACATGAGAAAAATAAATATGGAGAAAGAAAGAGGTTAGAATTTCTTTAAAAAATGCAACGTAAATGGTCCATTGTAGTTGGATGATTTAACTTTATAGCATGTATCAATCAAGTTTTCTTTCCTTTCAGAAAATCATAGGCTTCCTGCGCAACTGGTCTGAACCTATACATATAATATAATGACACTTAAAAGAGAACTTATGTTGAAGAATTTTTAAATAAATAAATTTTGTCCCTTCTCTAAGGTTTTAAACTTTTTGATGAGTAAAATCAATATGGCAAAGAGTGGAAAAAATCCGTATTCAAGTCACATCACAGCCAATTTGTGAAAAATTGTGCAAGCATTAGGCCGTTAACGAAGTGGGAACAGAGCTATAAAACCACTTCAAGAGAGGCAAAAAGGAAAGAGCATGCTTTTTTCAGATGATTCATTAATTTTGAGCACTAACTAGTTGTGTCATTTCTTCTGGAATAGCCATAGTCCATATGATGGATCTCTCTACTGGATTTGATGTTATTCGGTATGAAAGACCCTTTTCTGCAAACCTTGTGAGCAAATGTCCTAAGCCATGACAGGAAAACACCAGCTTAGTAACCTTACAAGAGAGAGTGAGTACATAAAAGAACTAAATATTAAAAACTTATATAAATCAAGAAAGATGATACCTCCAATAGAACCCAGTTCAACTACTTTTGTGTCAATTTTGGCCACAATAGATTTTAGGGCATACTTCCCCTTTTCCCACTTCTGCATTTCTTTCTGATGTTTTTTCATCTTCACAGCTTCCGCCTTAGAAACAGCCTTTAGCAACTTCTCTTGCTAGTTTACAAATACAAAATAGCATACATTTCAAGAATTTACTCAATACTTGATAACCCAATACCATGTATGCAGTCATTTATATTGTGTGCACATCAAACTTACTTCTTTCTGCTGTCTCTTTTCCTCCATCAAAAGAAGTCTCTCCTCCTTTGACATTTTCGCCTTTTTAGTTCCATCCTCTGCTTCAGTTTTCTTCTTTGGCTTGTCTCCACTTTTCCCACTTCGTCTCAAAACTTGAATGGGCTCTAAAATATCAGTTCTGTCGTCATGGTAGCAACGTGCCTAAACAGAATGTCATTAAATTGAAATGGTAATAAGCTAATGCAAGAATGATTTCTATGATTCAAAGACAAGTATTGAGTCCTATGAAAATCAACATCAAAGTTAAAATTTGAAATTTCACTATCAGATCTAACTAGAAAAATACACAGAAAGTGGCAAAAAATGAGGGGGAATTCAAACACTAGTAACTATTTGCAGAACCACTCCAGATCCAAGTCTTCACACTTTTCTCATAAAAATGACTTGTCTATAAACTTTTCTGTACATAGAAGCAAAAGTTATCTTATTTAACGCTTTTCGCGAAAAGGCTTCATGAAGTTATAAAATAACACATTTTTGTGAGCGTTCATTTTCCAATGCTTCATATGAAACAAAATTCTACGGGAATCAGAAATAGAAAAATCTTCTTCTTCTAGTATTTTTATCTGAACAAGAACAAAAGCAATTTGCATGGTCAAAAATATCTGATTGGATATGATTCTCAAACAGGAAGTTGTTGCAAGCATCCTAAGGATGGAGAAACACTCAACTCTACAAAGTTGTATTTTGACAGGAATGCAACAGCCGAACATGTACAAATATACTACAGATAGAACCAATATCAATCCAACTTCATATTTTGACACTTGAAATATAATGAAAAAGAAAAGGTTCTCCAGATTCCAATAAAATAACATTTTAGGAAAATAGTGAAGATTTTTCACACATTGGTGCAGAAGCGTTATGAAATTCTTATAATAAGAATTGAAAATCAGAATTATATTGGAATAATCTTACTTTGTATTGATATATGATTGATTGTCTTAAAAAGTGTACAATACCCTTATTTATAGGCAAATTTTTCCCTAATCCTATTAATAAAAAGAACAAAAATAAGGAAATTAAATTCTAAAAGAAAATAAACTTATCATAATTTAAACAAGATTTAAGAATAAACCTATTACAACTAGAATATGAAATTATAAAAGATAATTTAAAAAAGACAAATTCCTAAATANTATCCATAATCCTATTAATAAAAGGAAATTAAAATAAAAAAAACTAAATTCTAAAGGAAATGAACTAATCATAATCTAAACAAGATTTAAGAATAAACCTAGTACAACTAGAAAAAGAAATTAGAAAAAATAATTTAAAAAGACAAACTCCTAGATAAAGTGAAACAGTTAATTATAATTGTGATGTACTACATCACACATTAGGACAACCCACCGTAGATATGTCATCTTCCAGTGAACTTCGATGGTGATTGCTTTCAGGCATTTGCATCATGTCAGCACTCTCCATTGAGAACTTCTTATGTAGTTCAATGGAAGAACCTGAAAGTTGATTCTAAGCAACTTATATTGTTGCCTAATTTTCACGAATAGAGCAGAATTGAATTAAGTCATGACATAAACGATCAGATAGGTAATTGTACCAAGTGGGAATGAGGATGAAACTAATCCAGAGTCAAATTCTGATTCATTCACCAACTCTGCAGCAAAAATTGTTTCATTATTTTTCCAAGCTTCAAATCTACCAACATTTTCTGACTCGTCATCTGACTCCACACATATCAATCCATTGATTCCTGAAGTAAAAATAGAGGTTATAAATCAGTGCAAGGTTGAGCTAAAGACAAAGTGAGCAGGAGCAGAATATGTGTCAAACCAAACTATATTATCCCCTTGTTTGAGCCCCTTTTTTTAGAGATAGCCTGTGTTTGGGAGCCATTATTTGGCCAAAAGAATAAAAATTATGACCGTTGGAGGCAGGAGCCAGCCCCTTTATTTGACTTTGCATCTCTAAGGTGGGGCCCATTCATTCAAGCAACGGTCAATTTTTTTATTAAAATGAGGCTGATAATGTGAGCCAAACACAGGCATAATGTATTTTGGAATAGTGATATTTATGGGAGAATGTATGGTTAAAAAATAAGGAAAAATTTTGAGTTTACGTGTAAAATTATTTTATGAGACAATGTGTGGTTGAAAATGAGTATTGGAAAAATGAGTTTTTGGAAAAATGGATGCCAAAAATAGGCTATATCAACCAGAAAAGAGACATTCTGACATACTGTAAGTGGCAAAAAAGTCCTGTTTTGATAAATGTAACCAGTGATTCAATCATTTCATCAAAGTCAAGAAGCGCAGACAAGTAGTTTATGTGTAGAATACAAGACTGGGATTTTAATACTGATTTTGGAGAAACTACGATAAAAAACACCAAAATTAGTAAATGAGCAGAAATAGGGTACAAATATAGAATACAGACTGGTAGTAACTCGGTGAGAATATGTTCATCATGTATGATTATAACATAAACCAAGCCATCAAGGATTATGAGCCAAACATCCAATTAAGAGCAAAATATACCACAGTTTACTGCAATTACTTTGCCTTAAAATGTTTAAAGATATTGAAGTATGTCCAACAAAAAAGTACACAACATTTGGCAAAAGCCCTGCAAGTATGCTAACTAATAAATATTCAATATTAAAGAATTTCATGCAATAAAAGTTTTTTTCTATAGCAAGATTAAAGTTCATAATTTCAATACAACATCATTAAAAGTCCCCTTTCTAAATTCACAATAGTCGATAAAACTTCTATGCCTAATGCCTCTACAAGATTTGATTTTGTACATACTATCTCACAAGTTTTTCCTACATAACCTTTTCTTCTGGTTGATTATTTGCATATTTAGAGAAACTTAGTAACTATAGTTCAAGAAGAATAAACTTTATTCAACTTAATTAAAAATTAATCCCACCTGTTAAACTCACCCGAAGTCCTAGGATTTGAATTCAAAGAACACCCAATTTCACAGTAGGAGAATCCTCTGTTGCAATTGACAATTGGAAATTGGAGTTTTGAAAGGTCAGATATTGGTGTTTCAACAAACTACATGTTGATCTGTGGCTAATTACTAACCAAAATATCAAACATATTAATACAAAAACCATGCGAGCATATTCACATCCGCTTCATTGCATGAGCAAAAAAAGTTCTCTTTTTGTTCAATAGCAGATGTCAGAATTACCAAAAAAAAGAAAAAAAGAAAGACAAAAGCAAGTGCCATATGAAGAAATTAAGCGCGTATGTTGTCTATAAGCCTGAGCATCAAATATTTAGTTACTAATACAAAGTCAAATATCATCTGGATTTTTTCGGTTCTGAAGTCATTACACCCCGCGAAGTTCTATCCCCAACGCGCTAAGAATTGGAAAAGAGAAAGTAATAATTAACGCTTCGTTTGGAATAGTAAATTTAGGGCCTTGAAAAGAGAGTAGAAATATAATCCCATCCAAATTGGAAAAGATATTTTTAAGAGTTCTCTAATCTTGAGTCTCCAGTGCCTTCCCAGAGATAGTAAAAGTACTAATAATAAATTTACCCTACCGGAAGACAACAATTTTCCTTTGGAGCATTTGACGATTGAGGCACCGGAGAAGGAGGTTTCAGGGACGGAAGAAGGAGTGGAGGAGAATGTCGGGCCTGCTAAAGACGTTGGCAGCGGCTTAAACGGCGTGGGATCGTCGTCGATGATGAAGACTGTGGAGTTTGACAAATTCTCTGTTTTTTGTTTCTTTTTGGATTGAGGAACCGAGAGCGGAGGCGTGGTGAGGTCGATGGCATCGCTTTGGAGAGACAGCCGGCGATAACCGCCGGAATCGGAATCGGAATCGGATAGGACATCAACCGATATTGGCTGTGACATTTTCTGTGACGAAAATACGCAGAGAGAGAGATTTTGAGAGTGGTTTTAACGTTTAAGGCGGGATGATTGATTGGGTCGGGCCGTTACAAGAATTAAGATCCGAAAATGAAACAAAATCTGAAGTTTTGGGCTTAATGGATGAAAAGCGGGAGCCCACTTGCAAATTCATAATAACTCCCTAAATCCTACTATATTAAAAGAGCAGAAAATGCTACTTGTACATTAGGAGGTACATAAGGGTGTCCATAATAGACATCCGGCACCTCCACATTGGATGAAGTGCCGACCCCACCTGCACTTCATCCAATGGGGAGGTGCCGAGTGTCCATTATGGACACCGTTATGTACACCCTAATGTACTTGTAGCACCTCCCTAAAAGAGCCAACATGTCGAGTACTGGTCATTTTGAAGCATTTTCGTTAGCCCAAATTTTCCCATATTCATCATCTATTATTTACACCAACTGCCACTCTCTATCTTCCACTATTCACACGTGAGTTAAGGGTAATTTGGATTCCTACAATTGTTGACTTTAATATTTCCCTACTACAATAGATCATTTTATAATCAATTTACATGTCTATAATTGTTGACTTTAATATTCACATACTGTACTAGATCTTTTTTTTATAAAATCAATAAATACTACTCCGCACAGTACGGTGTACTTGCTCCGTCCACTGCCGTTGTGTGGAACAATTACTTCATCTTCTGCGAAGCAATTCCTTTGCACTCTTTGGACCTTTTTTTTTGAAAAAAATATTAATATTACAATACAGATATAGATAAACACATAAAATTAACACATCTTCTTAACAAAATCATCCTCATTGAA